ACGGATTACTAAACTGTGAGCACGGATTACTAAACTGTGCGCACGGATTACTAAACTGTGCTCACGGTTTCTGCAATTCGTGCGCACGGATTACTAAACTGAGCGCACGGATTACTAAACTGTGCTCACGGTTTCTGCAATTCGTGCGCACGGATTACTGGGTGGTTGTGTGCACAGTCCATCAGCTCAGAAAGTGTTTAAGGAGCGTTTTTTGTTCACTAAAGTCAAAGTACAGCACAGAAAATGTTGGACTTTGARTATGTTGTAYAGTTTTTGCCCCTCTGTCAGGCAGTTTTGGTACCGGAACACCGGGTCTCCTACAGGCTGTTTCAGCTCTGATCGGATCATCACAGGAAGATTCTGCCCATGGTTACAGGATGTTTACAGTTTCCCTGACAACGGGGAAGTTTTGCTAAAGTTAGCTAGCTGCCTTCTCAGGGTTGTATCACAAAAGTATTGAATAGATTTATGTTGAACTTTTAGGAAATGTTTATTACTCTTTCAAAAACGTTTATTACACCACAGAAACATTTAAAAAATATAAAAAAATAAAGTTTGGAACATTTCAGAGTAAGAGAGGGGCCGCGGCTCCCATGATTGTCTTCTGCAGATGAAGCTCGCCACACTGGGACATTTCTCTGCAGCAAGCCGCTCGGAGGTTTTCTCCAGCGGTTCTCAGATGTTTATTCTCTTTCACAACAAAACGGGGGACGGGAGGGCGGAGGAGGCTATAACCTCCGTTTCAGGATTCATTTGCCTGGAAAATATGAAAATAAATAAATAACCACGTCGGATTTTGATGAATTTTTCAGGAACATTCTGTGGCTAAAAAGTGTGTTGATGAGAACACGACAGTACCTTAAGTTTATATAACAACAGATCCACTGAATTTACCTTGAAGATGCGGCTTCATACGGTTGTGTTCTGAGGAAAGGATTCAAGCGAGACCTAAGCCCGAAACAACAAGTTGTCTCCGCACTCACAGTATTCACTTCCTGTTTAGCCTTTCACAATAAAACCAGATACAACAAAAGAGATTGTACCACACGTACCATGCGTCCAACCTGTCGACACAATCTGCGCTCACTGATTGCAGAAACTGAGCGCACCGATTAGTAATCCGTGCGCACAGATTATTAATCTGTGCACTCAGTTTAGTAATCCGTGCGCACGGATTTTCTTTTTTCACCACTGGCCCCCAGCAGGCTCCGTACTCATAAGAACTTCGATAGACAAACTAAAGACCTGGAATAACATTTCAGGCATCTTCCAAATTTTGTAATATTCCCCAAATTGATTTTTTTCTTCTGGTAAAACTAAGAAAATTAAAGAAAGAACTATTTGTGATATTCAATATTTATCTGTTTCTAGGACAACTGAAAAGTCATTTAGGAACAGTGATATAGTATCCATTAAAATCTTCAAATGCCCCTGGGCACATTGGGCCTCATGCAAGAACATGTTCGTATTCTTCTCCTAAATTTCTCTTACTTTTGTTCGTACAAAGGGTTCGTACGAACATGTCACGTCAGATTCAACAAACTCTTCTATCTTCAGGAAAAGTGTAAATGAGCATCATAAACTGATGAATGCCACTTGTTCATATTCAGCTGCTCGTGCACGAGAGATTAGCAAAATTACCACCCTAAAAACACCAAATAAGGCTATGTTTCCTGCCCCACATACCAGGAAATGAACAGTCAAAAATGACATTGCAAAGCAAAAAGAAGAACTTTACGAGTTCTGAGATTAAATTTCTGCTCTCAGAGATCCAGAAAAAATAATGTCATTTTTAGCAGCATCAGCTGTGAAATGGAAATGCTAAAGTCAAGCAATGAAATAACTACTGTTGTTAATGT